GTTGTAAGAAAATACAAGTAATTTTTATTGTGTACTTCAGTAGTCAGAGATATAGTTTGGGTAATTATATAGAGAGTTGGTACATCTAACGACCGACAAAGTGCACAGGGTCAGCTAGTACTATATAATTATAGGTATTATATTGAATAAATTCATAAATAATATTTAATTAATGATCTAGTTCTTACCAGATGTAATATTAATTGTTGGTCTATGTTTTATTCAAGCCGATACCCACAACTTCTGGAAGATGGGATCCTCCGTCGGAAATCTATGTATCCTGGGTATTTCTTCCTCTTGGGTAATTCATTTATTCCTAGATTTACTCCCTGTAGTGCACCAAGAAACAGAACATATATGAGCCATTGCAGGTAAATTAAACCGTTTCGAGTAAGAGCGTGCAAGAAAAAAATACAAATTCGCATAATTCGATGAACTAATAATATTGATACGCTCTGTTGAATAACAAATTGAAAACCCAATTGATAACAAGTCAAATGGTGTTACAGATAATATGGGCACAGAATAGATGAAATTTCATCTATTCTGTGATATGGGTGAGCAAGTGACGTGTCGCGCAGACCGCGACGGTCGTATATAAAGCACTGATAGCACCGTGGTGCTATAGAACCTAAAATGGTTTTGTGCTATCGTACAGAGCACCGCGGCACTACGGTACGGGTGTGCATCCCGGTGCCATACGATAAGAATAATATTGTTGCGATAATGAAATAACATTATTATGGTATCAATTCAGGCCCACGGACCACGGCCCACGCTGAAACATAACACCTCGTCCACATCGCTTACGTATAATATTATGTTTGAAATCGAGCCGGCAAGCAATATCGCACGGAACGACGGAACGTTCCGTATTTCGGCGTTCGTCTGCGCCGACACCGTCCCGCCGTTCCGCCACACCTACCGACCAGCATTGCCTGTCACCACCGTCGGTCACACTCGCGGCCGAGCGGTACGTGTTCGTCGATCACCGCCGATCCATCGTTTTCGCGCGTGACGACGACGACACCACCAACAACCACAACAACAACAACAGTAATAACAATAATTATCATTATGGATTCTATTTTGTCGTGATAACAATAATGATATTCCGTACAATATAGATTGCAGCGCACGACGAACGGAAATCCAACGCAGACAACAACAATATTGTTTATGTGAAAACAACTTGAACGGCTTTCAGATGTTTCCGTTTGGGAAGTGAAAATTTTCGAGCATTATCGTTTTTGGGTGACGTTCGATACGTATTATTTTATTTGAAGGAGAGACGATTTTTGGTCATCTGAAGTTCTGCTGGCTTTTCAAATTTTTCGGAAAACACCTAAAGTTCTTTAGCCACCGACCGTCGAATCCGAGGTAAGTCGAGTTCGGAACTCGTGCCGAGCGAATTTTCTATGGAGGTAATATTTTAGTTTTTTTTTAGTTAAATTTGTTTGTCACAGTTTTGCGGCATGCAATGTCGAAAAATCATAAAACTCCAGATAATGGCCCCTCGATGAAATCTAAATCACGGCAGGAGTATCGAGAATGTAAGTAACATTAATTTCTACCTCGATTTTTCTACCTATTTAATGATTAATTTTATTTTAGGTTATAATCTGTTTGTACGAATGCGGAATGAGGTATGTCGCAGAATCAAGGCCGGATTAAGAACCTATTGGGCCCCGGGCTTGAAATTTCATATGGGCCCTTTTGACAAGGCACGCGTTAAAACAAACTGGCTACGCCCGCAGGAAGATACATTTCTCTAACTATTTCACAAATGGCAATTGAATTATAAAATGAATAGGTAAGTATATGTAATTTATATGTCTATAAAGTATACAACCACTTTTCACTAATTGTAATATAATAAAAGTAAAGACGGCAGAAGCTGATATTTTACAAATTTAGTTTTGCCGCTACATATATTTTCAAATACCTAATGACTTATCAGTTTTGGTCTTTGAATATAAATGGCACCACACACATAATAGAGACATTTCATATTAAGTATGATAGAAGAAAAATGTTTTCCACTACTTGAAATATACGATTTCTAAACTATTTAAATAATATAATTGAAAAATTAACAAAATGTACATATCAGCTTCTGCCATCATTCCACAGAGTTAATACTTCATATTTCATTAATTTAAATTCAAATTTTCATACCAACTTTTAAATTTATTAACATTATACTTATTTACAACAAATATTAACTAATAGTTATTAAATAACAGTAAAATGCGCCTTTCCTACAAAAAGGTATTTACTATTTAGTTGTTTTTGTTTAAAAAAATGGTTTTTAAAATATAGAAAAACTATTCTTTAAAATCACTGAAAAATGTGTATCAGCTTAAAATTGTTTGGGCCCCTTTCATTTTGGTACTTGAAAGGGCCCCGGGGCTTCCGCCCCGGCTATACCCCCCCTTAATCCGGCCTTGCGCAGAATATAGCTAGAGGAGGTTGTTAATTTTTTTTTAAACTTTGAATGTCGTGTATTTATTATTATTTTGATTTTACAGGTATAGAGATGGGTTAGTACAGTCCGGTATGCGGTATTCAAGGGTGGTTGAACATAAGATTCAAGATAACGACAAGATGAACCCTCGGATGAACCTTTTGTCATCACTGGTGTATATAAATTGTAAGTAACATTCTATACTTATGTCTAGAGACCGGATTTTATATGCGCTTAAAATCTTGAATATAAGATGCTTCTATGCTCTATAATTTCATCAAAATAATCTATTATATGCAAAAATATTCTTTTATGAAAAAATTAAACTTTATTAAATAATCTATAATATGGTGATATACTGCCATACTGGTGTACCTATGTTTAACTGTTGTTACACAAACTTATGAATTCAAAAAATAACAATACTGAAATAAAAAATAATTGCATATAGTTTGTTAACAGAATAATATTGTGTATTCAAACTCAAACTTAAATAATCAGCCTTATGAATTCAAAAAATAATAATATTAAAAATTAAAAAAAATGATTACATATAGTTCAACAACAGAATAATATTATGTATTAAAATAACTTAAACTTAAATAATTCAGCCCTAATGTCTTATGAAAATAAAAAATAATAATAATTACAAGTTATAAAGTATTAAAATTTGAACCTGATATGGCAATATATTCCTGAAACATGTTGTATCACAAAATATTCCTTTTTTTAAAGAAAAAAAAAATTGTGTTTATCAGTTCATAGGTAAATGAATCGTCGAGAATGTTTATCCAATTACTGCTGCATACTCTCAGTAAAGATAATATGTAAAAACCTAAAAATCCGGTCTCTACTTATGTCTATTTAATAATTTAATTTATTTTAGGTTATAAGCTGTTTATATGAATGAGGAATGTCTCAGAATATAACTATTGGGGGGTTGCTAATTTTATAAAAAGTTTGAATGTTGTGTATTTTGAATTATTTTGATTTTACAGGTATACTGGAGGATTAGTGCAGTCGATTATGCTGTATGGAATGGTGAAACATCCTAAAACTCCAGTCATTCAGTGTATATGGCTGATAATGGTTATACATATGTTAAAAATTAGAATTCATACCTCCACCAATAGAAGGTTAGTAATACAGTTTAGTAAATTATTATATTTGTATTCTAAGTCATTTTTTTATACTTAATTAATAACTGTAATGCTAATATTTTTCAGATAGCTAAGATGCACAAGGTGAACTTGTGAAGTGGTGTTTCCGAGCAACAGCCTGGATCAATCTGCAGCCAGGAAATCCACAAATTTTCACATATAATCATAGGCCAGAGCATGATGTTGAGATTGGTACATTTTTGACAGCTTTAAGTAGCAGTATTTCAGCTGAGAGCACATCCCCAGAGTAATATATGAGCAAGAATCTAGAAGGTAAGATAACAATTACGGATGTACGTAATTTGGTCGCGGTCATTTGGACACACGACAATTGGTCGATTGGGCCAGCCCTCTATCTTGTTATTTGTTCTAGGTAGATTTTCTTTTAGGCGATCAAAACAATCCCAGATTTCAATTGGAAACAATGGTGGTCGACGATTTCCTCTCCTACCCAAAATACCAATCCATGTTCTTTCAAAATAGGTTATAAAGTGTGATAACAATTCTTTGTTTTCGACATAATACGTTCTCTCTAATAATGTCTCAAATGATTGTATTACCTTGTCGGCAGGTATAAAAGCAAGGGTTGATAATTTTCGTACCTCTAATGCAAAGATTACATCGTCACTATATTGTTTTGCAAGACCATGGTGTTGTATCTGTCTCCAAACCGCTTGATTCAAGTGAAAAAAACATCTATGAATATTTGTATTCGGAAATTCAATTTTAATTGCATTAATTGCTGCTTTTTCGAAGTCTACCACAAATGATTTTGGACATAAACCAAACTTCAATAATTTTACGTATGTTATTTCCTTTTTATCTGGTAATAAAACGTGTACTAAAGGTATTATATCACTATGAAACACTGCATGGATGGTGTAAAATTGATAAAACAAGTTAGGGCAGTTTGAAAATGTTCCGTCAGAAAACCAGTGTTTAGAGTTTTTTAATAAATTTAAATTTTCATTGGTAGAAAATAATAAAATTCAGTCATCAAATGTGCCACTATCACCACTATCAAAAAACAAAAAAATTGTTACCGTCTAAAGTCAGTCTAAATTGTTCTGGAATTTCAAAATGTAATGGTTGTTGATTTGCAGGAACTGCTTCATCATTTTTTCTAATCTTTTGTATTGTTCTTTTTGAACACTTAGAGTTCAGCATTTGACCTGCAACTGCGGGTGGTAACTGAAATAATATAATTTTATAAATTAAACAAAGAATAAAATTACATATTATCTGTAATTTCAAAATGATGTACTGACATATTTGCATATATTATAGCTTTAAAACTTAATGTGACTCCAAGAAAATTATGAAAAAAGGGAGTACTGTGTAAAGAAGTTATTTTACTTAGGTATGTGAAATAATTAAGTTAACTGTGAAGACGTGTTTGCCAATATACTATGTGTAGACATTACTGTAGTGATAGCGTTTTCTTTCATTTTATTTATGGTTCTTTTTGCTTTGATTTTTGCCCTATTTTGTACATGAGTATGATCGGTGAATTTTGTGATGACATCTATTAAGAAAATTTATGAAATTAATAAACTAATATGATACCTAAAATATATAGATTAATCATTTTACCTTGAATTGTATGAGCTCGACCAGTACACTTTTTTTTTTCATTGCATTTCCAAATTATTTTATCTTCAATAGATAGGGCCTTCTCTTGTTTGTGAATAAAACTATTATAAATTAAAATATCTCGACCTCGTTGACTTTTTATAAGCTCTAAATGCATTATTTAATAGGTATGGCATACTATTCGTAACGAGTTTACGAATATGACACCGCTCGCTATAGTACAATTATACAAGATACTGAAAACTTATCTAACAGGTAAAGCTATAAATGTATAAGTCATAAGTGTATAACCTATACATATTATATATGGGTAAGTACTTAGCTAAGTAATTTTCGTACACGACCAATTGTCGTGCGTCCAAATGACCGCGACCAATTGACATGCTACCAAATTACCGCGACCAAATGACGGTACACCAACAATTAAATTTAAAAGTATTATGAAAAAACCAACAAAATTTTACCTTTTATAGTAAAATACTTAACAAAACTAACCTTCTTAATAATATTTTCAGATACCCAAATACAGCAATGCAAATTACCATAGATACTGCATTAAATATGATGTATTGATGTGGAATATTTGGAAAAGTAACAACCCACCAGTACCAACTCCAATAACTATTCAATAACAACATGTGCAGTCCATTCTTCCAAGTCCCTATAGAGTACTTAGTTGCTAAAGAAAAAGTATTTGGTTGATTAATTTTTTGCAAAATTATTTACCATTTATGATGCAATCATCGTTAATAGGTAAATACTTTTTCTCAATGACATAAATGGTAATATTATAAAATAGGTTTTTAAACTAAATATTTACACAGAAGATTAACATTAATTTATACACAATGATACATTGTTTATCTTATACATATCTCAAACTTCAATTATATATTATTATGTATTTATATGCAGTAATGATACTAATAGTTAAACAAGTTTTTTAAATAGCAATATCACTTACAAATCATGAAATATACTTGATTACTGTCAAGTATTTAAATGATAAATTACTATTATTTAATCTTGTGATCCATATTTAGAGTTATTTTGTAAGGCATTGTATTTTACTCTTTTTTAAAATGTAATATGATATACGTTTGTTCTACAAACAAGCAGGGTTTTTAAAAACATTGATCAAGATGCTGGTTTTAAAGAGAAATTAAAAATGACCATGTAGGTGAGGGTAACGAAGTTCCAAAAAAAAATTCATTGACTTTCAGCCAGTTTAGCTTGATTTTACTAAAAGAACCATTTCCCATGATAACTTTTTATTATAAAGTATACTCAAAGACTTATAGGTACAAATAAATTCGATAACTTCAAAAACACAAACATTTGAAAAAACTTAATTTAATAATTAAAAAATGTGGGTAAGTGGATGTCGCTCTGCTGTACAGTAGGTTACAAGTGGGTCACTGTATAATGGATGCTATTAAATTTGAATTCAATGATACAATATCATTGTATAAGAAAAACGATTCTGAGCGAAGACGGTATGTCAGTCTAGGTTTAAGACAAATTATATACATATCTATGGTATTAAAAAAAAAAATTTAAAATTGACCTATAAATTCCAAATTAATCATATCACATTATCACAATATCCATTAGGTACTTATAACACGTTAAACATCAACATCAATAACAAACCTAGATACTATCATAGATATATAATAGTACACTTTAGAAGTTTCAAGTAGGTACCCACGAATAATATTATATAACCACAACAAAATAACTAGGTTTTTTAAAATGTAATTTCGTCCAAATTTGAACATTAAATGACTGTAAAAATAAACTGTGATTGTATATTTTTTAGATTTTTCGGTAAGAGAATAAACTACTTACGTGGAATCTTGTTTTAAATTTTCAATCCTTAGCTATAAAAACTGAACATTTTATAATTTACTAATTACGATGATTAATAATTTTCGAGATTATGAAAAATTCTATCAAAATTCGATGTTTAAAAGCTTATAAAAAAAATTGTGCCTATGTATTTTTAATATTTTTCAACTGATATTGTAACAATATATCAGGAGCCTTGTATTAAATGTTTACACTTTTTGGCCCTACAGATAAAACTTTATTGATATTCATAGAAAAAAAAACTAAAAAAATTAAAAACTGAAAATGTCCGTAAACAGCTCAAAAAGAGTCAAAATATTCTCAAAATTGTATGGTGTATAGGAAATGCTAATATAAACATTCAGTGAAATTTTCATGTATCTATAGTTATTCGTTTATGAATAACGACAAAGTAAGGAAATCGCTACATGAGAAATCGAGTGAACATCCAATGTTGTAAAAATTTGAATTTCAAACGCTCATAAAAATTTAATTTGACTGTCCTATAGAGATTTTTTTATTGATAAAGTTAGACAAACTTATGAGTAATCTTGTATTACATTTTTAAATCTTAGATTTAAAAAGAAAAATTTTTACGAATTCTTAACTCAAAATAATTTGCTAATTTTCGTGATTTTTCCATATTTTGTCAATTTTTGAACTTTAAAAGCTTATAAAAAAAAACTGTGATTAACGATTTTTAATATTTTTCATCTGCCTTTGAAACAATATACTAGGAGCCTTCTATTAAATTTTCAAGTTTTTTTAACCAACAAATAAAATTTTATTGATATTTCTAGAAAAAAACTAAAAAAAAATGAAAAATGAAAATGTCCCTAAACAGTTCAAAATAAATCAAAATATTTTGAAAATGATATCGTGTATAGAAAATGAAAATATAAACAATCAGTGAAAATTTCATGTATCTACGATCATTTGTATTAAAGTTACACCAAAACCCAAATTCGATTTTGCGTAAAAATTCCCGTTTTTCCTTAATTTTTCTTTTGTTTTTCTTGGCGCTTTTGAAAAGTACTGGTAATTTTAAATTTTGACCTCCCCAATGCACCAATGATATTGACTTTCCAATCGAACAAGATACTGAAGTTGAATATCGTAGCATTATTTCGACTACTTATCGTGTACAGAGACACAAAAAAAAAATAGAAAAATAAAAAAACACACATCATTGTAAAATCAATACATTCATCGTTTCACTCAGAATCTAAAACATGTCCCCTAACTTTAGGAAAAAAAATGATTTTAATTTACACTTTCTAAGAGTTCATTTATACGGAATATTAAAATTGTATACTTACTAAGCGTTATACTTTCAACTAAGTGTCTTAACTTAAATAGAAGTACTTGACTATTTTTTTTAATAATAATATTTATCAAAGGACTTTACAATGTATGGTTATAAAATACCTACTCATCTATAGTGTTATTATATTAAATTATTAAATATTTTTCATGGTAACAGTATAATATTTTAAAATCAATCAATAATCAATAATATAAAATCATGTATATTAATTGCTGTTAGATTTAAATTGGAACTTTATTCATTAATCATTGATTTAACATTTAAAAAACTCCCTAAATAGATTGATTTATTGCATTAAAATATATAAAAAATTGCATCGAAAAAAATTTAATTATAATCAATAAAATCTATATTATTACTAATAAATAGTAATAGTAAAAATTAAATGTTAATATTGTTTACATTATTGCATATTTGCATTGCATAACAAATGATTTTTTTATGTTTTCTTAGCGACCTTAATGCGATAATCACTCTACAGAGATATTAATAAAACATAATAAGTACAAAAAATATAGAAATTTGTTCAGGTTTACTTACTTTTATTTTATATATCAAGTTATATAATCTTAAATGTAAACAAAAATTATGAAAAATAGTTTAAATTGCAGTAAATTTAAGAAAATCGCCAGAATTGCATTTATTGCAATATAATTTTTTTTTGATTAAATTAAGAGTTTAACAAAATATATTTTAAGCTCACTCAGCAATAAATATAAGCATTTACAAAAAATATGCAAATGCAACAACTTCACTGCCCCAATTATGATTAATTTATAGTAAAAACTAGTATGCACCTACCCCTGACGCGTATTACCAAACCCTCTATAGCTCCAGCGCCTTTCTATAAAACGCTGCTTTCATTGGCCCGTTTAAAATACTCGCCAAATATTAAAATTTGATATAATATTATAATCTTTTATCTATTATCAATTATCATAATAATGCTTATTCGTTTAAGATTTGCGCCAAATATTATAATATAAAAAAATTTCTTCACAATTAAATATTATTAAGGTATAAAAACCAACTCAAAAACAGCTCTAATCTTAAGATGGTATATGTACCTACATATTATTATAGTCCAGAAAATAAATAATTTATTAGGTAGGTAATCTGTTTACTTATTAACAACGGCGTTAAAATTTTAATAAATATTTTACTTAGTTAAAATAAATCAAAATCTTTTTTGTCACGTTTAAAAGTTAAAAATGAAATATTAATTATCATCTAGTGACTAAATAGGTAATAATTATTATTTCTGACTAGATTATAATCAATATTGTAACAAATAATTTTAAAATTGTATTTAAATACAGATAAAAAAAACACTCACACTTAAAAGTACTTAAAAACAAATACAAATATTTGTTACCTTTTAATTTTAGTAATTTATTATTAAGTACAAGTAGGTATGCAAAATTGATTTTGTAATTACTAATTTAATATTGTTATGTCACATATTATGATAAGTGTCATAGTGTCATGAGAACTTATCTTTGTACTACTGTAATTTTAAATTAAAAAATTAAAATAAATAAAAGTTTATCATATTTTAATTCTCAAATACTTCAACAATTACAAGTGGAAAATTTTTTTAAATTATGTATTTTTTGAATTTTTAAAAGTATTTAAATAAACTATGCTAGTATTTGATTTTTAATTAGAAATATATCCAAGACAGTATTTAAATTAGGTACCTAATTTAAAAAGAGTTTGAAATATAATAAATGTTACAATCCTTCAGTAGTTAGCGGTTGTGTTAAATACTTTACTAAATAATTATATAGACATTAATTTTAACAAAGTGTATGAATAAAATAAATCATAAATATAAAGCTCGTTTGGTGGTGTGGTGGTGAAAAATATTTCATTTATAATTATTCCACCTTCCCCTTAAAATACAACTAAGTGCAGCCTACACTTATTAGTTATTAATATTTTTATTAAAGTACCCCACATTTATTAAATTCTGATAA